TGAATTTATTTATTAGGTTGTTAATTTTGTGACACTTATATATTAAGTATGACATGTATATTTTCATGTTTATCTGTAAGTATTCAATAAATATTTCGTTTTTTAATTTTAACTATACTAAAATGGTGTGTACACAACTTAGACTTGTTTTTTATTTGTTTTTACATTTTGATAAATTAGCTTATTTCAAATGATTTCATATTAAGGTATGATTGTTGGAGTTTCTTGTGAGGTTCTTATTAATGACTAGTATATGTTTATTTTCATTTTATTGTTTTTATTGACAAATGTATTTTACATGTATTATATTCGTATTTTCTACTGCTGTATTTTGACAATCTGCTCGTTTGTAAAGCAATGATTTTTTATCTGACTGTTCCTATATCCGATGGTTGTTCTCACAACCTTGTAAAGATCTTATGGAATATAATAAAGTGAATAGTGAATATTAAAATATCCTAGAAATGATGTTTATTATGGTTGCTAGTTTCACATCTTACAATGATGAAGTTGCAAAAAGGAAAAGGTAAAGTTAATTCTGGTATCAAAGGCAGTGGACATTAATTCATATATTTCAAGAACTTTCACTGCTGAAAGTTGACATTTAACCCTCTAAAACCTGAAATTTATGTAAATATTTAATTTCCGGTTCATACCTCAGACAAACATTGCATCTTCATCACAAAAATGAAATGGTTAATTCCATTCAGGGAAACAACTGCTCCTGTAATAATCGTGTGAGTCTCACGAATACACAGCTTATGCAAAACAGATCTTTAATGTTAAAAAGTACATCATACATATAGTTACCACTGTTCTTTGTTTAGTTCAAAGATGACACATTTGAAAGCGCATACAGCAGCTAAAAATTTCAATTCAATAAAATCAAAGACCATAACAACAAGGGAGACGTTAGTTACCTGCAATGAACTTCATTACAGTGACGCTAACAATTTCCACATTTGCAGATGTAGAAAGACATCCCCAAGAAGTGCAATCCTGACATTCAGCTCAAATTTCAGCCAGAAGTGTCAGTGTGCCAGCTAATATTCCAACCTGTCAACTCTCACACACAAGTTGAACTACAGCCAATCTGTTCGTTGATTCTGGTAGATACATAAACTGTTTTCAATATGTCTCCAGAAAGTGTGTAACCCCTGTTTTAATATTACAATAAATATCCTACAACACAAGTCACCATTGTTGTAAGGCTGTGGTGAGAAAATGATAACTACAAGGTACTTATGTTTTCTGTGAAGTGGGAACTGAATTTTTAAATATTATCTCTTCTCCACAATCATTATCATCCTCTGAATTATTCAGTTAGCACATATATATGTTTCAGCTTCAGCTCATTTCAGAAAGGCCTGAAAACTGGAGACACAATATCTTTCATCATGAATTTGGCACAGAAAATGTTTCTAATTAAACCAGCAAATTAGAGTAACAATACAAATCACTAAATCACTTAAGAGCATATTTTGCTCTCTTCTGAAGCCACTGACACCCAAATACCTCAACTGACAACATGATATTACTTCAGTTCTTCATATGATTTAATCACACTTTCCATTTTTGCAAAAGATTCTAAAAAATCTTCCTCGCCAACACCAAACTTCCTGTACTGATGTAAATGAGCCTTATGAACATAAGTCTTCCAAGCTTTCTCAACAATATTACTCAAGGAATAACGAACCAAACTATTATTTGTGGCTAAAGAAATAAACTTATCCATATCCATGAATCTTCCATCCTGGTGCACATGAAGACATCTTGAACCTTTGGGTATCCACTGTGGGTACAGATCGTTGTCATCTAAAGGTAACGCAAGAGAATACTTCATATCAGATTCACATTTGCCCCGTGTCACAAGGAAGTTACTGATACAAGGGCTGTACTGCATTAAGGAATGTTGCAAATTTTGTGTTGGTCGTGGTAATTTTGTCTCCCAGTCAAAGACAGGCTCCTTTTCAAGGTAACTCACACGAAGTGTCTGTTTCATATGTGTCACCAGTGCTTTCCAGTCAAGACTGGCTTCATACACACCTGATTCCTTAGGATAGTGTGGGGCTGACTTAATGGTGACCACTTTGTATTCAGGATGTGGAATCAAATGGCAAATAATATCATGAATTCTGCTTTGCTCTGACCTTTCCATGGGTTGAAATAATGATCCAATCTTTAGTGCAATTAAATCATTTAAATCATGAAGATCTGTGTTTTTATTTTTCAGCAAATTTTCGCTCATTTTGTGGAGATTATCATTTTCAAAAATTACAAACATATCAGAGACATCATACAAATTTGCAATTGTAAGTACAGTATTATAATTCTGAATGACGACTTCTCCTGATCTGTATGGGAGAACAAGAGCATTTAGAAGGACTTTTGTTGGAAATTCATCTCGGTAACTTTCCATGAGGTAACTCCCCACTCCTGAACCTGTTCCACCAGCAGAGCTGAGAAGGCTTAATGTAGCAAGCAACCTATCACACTTCTCAACTTCCTTTCGTACACCTTCCATAAACATCTCTTCAAATTGTGGCCCTTTCCTTCCATGACCATAAGCCCAGTTGTTTCCAGCACCTCCACCATTATGCGATATAATATTTGTCTCATCATATTTCCATAATGCACCTATATCACAATTCTTCTTTCTTACCTCAGTTAACACTTTTTGTTCCGTATCCACTAATACAGCTCTGGCTACATATTTATCTTCGTCAGGTTTATTCCTAAACCACCTCTCTTTACTTTCGTTAGAATAGCATGAATTCGTATTCAAAACATCTTGTGACAGAACTGAAAACAGGTGGTGACCAATTTGATTGCCACACTGTCCAAACTGTAAGGTTATTACCGACATCATACATTGAAATACAGAAAACCACGGACGCAATTCCTACTCCATTGTGCTGTTCATACACTACGTAACGTTAACCTGAGAACGCACAACTATTGTTAATTGACCATTATCTACAGTTTAACAAAACCTAAGAAGATTAAACAAACCATGTTTCTTTACGACTCTAACTGCAGTTAATTCCCTTCTGTTAAAAACGCCCACAATCTAGTGGAAACTAAATAATAATTTTAAAAAATTTAAACACAGCATCACACTCCTTCGTTTTTTCAATGACCAACCAAGGCGCGCGGATCACACATTACCAACTTATGAGCGATTGGTTCACATACTCTCTGGCCAAGGTTTCTAAATACACACCGACCACATCCGATTTGATTCCGTACCGTCTCAGCCGTATTAGCGGTCTCAGCTAATTGTGGTGATGCGTACTGACGGGTATTGTAATCAGTTGACGGACCACTCAAGTTTCAATGTCGAAGTGGGAAGTCTGCGATTAAAATGGCGCGTGTAATCGGAGACACCGTGGGATTGCCAATCACGAGTGACGAAGAAGAAAGTGACACCGAAGAGGATCTAAATACGCTGCAGCAACAACCTGCCGGGTCTGTTCTTGTGGAGGGTTCCCAAGACGTACATGTAGGCCCACGGCTAACTTACAACGGACCGGTAACTGTCAATCAGATTGTTCAAGTTCCTGTTGCAAATAGCGGTTACAACGGCAACATACAACAGGCGTTCCACAGACAGGCTATCGATGCGCCTGGCAGTTGCACTGATCCGCCCAACAACACATCGGAGGGTAACGTAACAAAACTTATTCTTGAAACTAGCTCTGAGCAAACTGGCCAATTCGTTAATGCTTTCCGACTTCTACTGGTGAGGTTCCCACTTCCATTCTCGGCCCGGACCGATCCTAACTGAGGTACTCCTTAGCCCCACCGGGAGAGTGCTCGAATAAATGCCTCAAAGATCACCACCGGTTCCTTCTGCATCCTTTCTAATTCATTATTAACGAGCGCCCTACAATTCGTTGTCTCGTTGCATAAGTGACAGATAAATAAGAATTATAATAGTAGTTCCCATCAATTCAAATAAATGTTCAACTGTGTAGAGGTCATTTATAATAATCCCATATCTCTATACAATAAAATCGTTACAGTGCTGCGTGAGATGATGGTAAAACTGCTCCAACACAAGGAATCACCCGCTAGTTGCAGGTAGTTCTGTTGAATGTGTCGCCAGCGGTCGACATTTTCGAGAAAAATGCTTGTTTATAAGAGCTTCTTGAAACCTAGCCCGCATTTGGCATTTTTTAGTATTGAGTGTTGCGACTTGACTGTGAGAGCGGTAAGCAGAGTACGTTCAGAGTAAAGTCGCGACCCTGTTTAAGAAAATGTCCAGTTTAACCTCGAAGTTTCTTAACCGCAACACCGAAGAAGTCTGTGTAACCTGTCGCAGTGAGCAGCGTATTGGATCGTATCTCTTTGTTATTCGTGGCGATGTCGCGGGATAAATTAAAATTATGGACCGTTAAATGCTGAATGTATGCTGCTTGTTGCTGGCCAAAGGCAGATTTGTTCGAGAAGAGAAAGCGAAGAATCGTACAGAATGCTATAGTTTTTTTTTTTCGAAAATCTGTGAAACGTCAGTCCTTTGGAACAGTGCCGTTTTCCATATTGTTTTGTACAGTTTGTGAAACAGCGTATTTTTGTGGGGAAAGCTCATAAATTGGACATACTCATATTTGAAAAAGGAAAGTGAAACAGATAATATTTTAACCTGAGAGACAGAGAGACAAACGGATTAGGAATTTGAGGCAATTACATAACGAGGGAATCAGTGATTAATACTCTTAGGGGCAGCTAAATCGGGGCTTCTGACGATTTTAAGTACCGTGGTAACTATAGATACCGCCTGTCTAATGTTTAAGAACTCGTATTTTGCACAGTAGACAGTGTACTTATGTGTTCCGTGTGATTCTCACAAGAAACAGCGATTATTTCCCTAAACAGCATCAGCCGGTTTATCTTTGTATAGGGGGCGGGGTGTGTTTCCTGCGAGGTAGGAACTAACTCACTAAATAGTGTTTAGGTGAACTTCAAGCTTGACGGCTCCATGCTAATGCTGGGTTGCTACTCAAATTCCACTTTGCAACTCTTGCTGCTTATACAGCCCTCCCAACGTTAATATTGAAATCTCGATCGCACCAATGAAGCTCCCGCAGAACTTGTGTCCTCTGCGCATGTCAAGGTCCACTTCCAACTCTTAGAATTTTTTTTATTGCTAGTGGGGTGGGACTAAGTCCCTTGGACTGCTGCCCCAGATGATAGGTGAGGGTGATTGTGGAGCAATTGGTGGAATGAAGATTGGCAGGGGAAACCGAAGTGCTCGGAAAAAACCTGCCCCAGCGCCACTTTGTCCACCACAAATCCCACTTGACCAGACCCGGGATCGAACCCGGGGCGCCGCGGAGGGTAGTCAGCGACTAACCGCTTGAGCTATGGCGCGGCCAAACGCTTAGGCTTGGTCACTTCCTAATATTTTACCCTCTCTAAAACGTACCTATATCATAAGGATGAGCGGGCACTGCCTGAGAACCTTGAAAGCAGGACAATTTGCTGATCACCCTACCCCTAAAAAGTAGTGTCCTTTACTACTGCCCCTTCGACTTTCTACTTTCTCGCTCTCTCTCTATCTCGGGAGCTGGGATAGCGCAGTCGGTATAGCAGCTGGCTACAGACTGGACGACCGATGGGTCAGAGTTCAAGTCCCGATAGGGTCAAGAATTTTTTCTTCTCCACGTCGTGGCTCTGGGGCCCACCCAGCTTCCTATCCAACAGGTACCGGGGGTAAAGCAGGCGGTGCGTGAAGCTGACCACTCACCTCGAACAAATGCGAAGGTCAAGAAAACGTGGATCAATACATCCACTCCCCCATGCAGGGACAACTTTACTTTTACTTACGTTTTACTCTCGCCTTCTCTGTGCATGTCTGTCTTTCTACAGGCTTCAGGGGGGTGAGATGGCATGGACACGGAGCTTGAACCTGGGAAACAATACATATTTAGAATTCTGTGAGCAGCCCCAAACGTTACCTGTCTCAAAACGAGAGTGACTGCCCTTTATTTAGATGTGAGTGATTGCTGGGGCCTTTAAGCGCATCGCGTTGAATGGAGGAGTGTAAATGAAACATAAGAAAGAGACCTTGGAATAAGGAATTATCCGATCATTCGCCGGCAGACAATGGGTAAAATCACGAAAATATCAGAACATCAGGTGTCCACTAAAAAATGTGATCGCGGAACGATCCGAAAACGGACCAGCCGTACGCACTGTCACTCTCGCGGTGCTGTGTCACTTATCTCTGCCATGAAGTCTTGTTTACCTCACGTAGCTTCTCAAAAGCACTGATAAGAAATGCGCAGAGCCTAGTGAGCTGTGTCATGAGGCTGTTGAGGGGCTCCACCCGTCACCGGGCTAAAACGTCTCGTCTCTCGTCCCCAGACTTCACGGGACCAGGCGTCTCCAAGACTCACCTCAGAGGTACACTGCTCGTCTTCAAGGGGTTCAGCATTTGCTGTTACTGGTGTGCGAAGGTCTCCGCGATTAAGGGGGCACTGTGCTACAAGCCGGAAGGTCGCGGGTTCAAGTCCCGATGAGGTCATTGGATTTTTTTCAATTAACCTAAACCTTCCAGACGCGCTATGCCCCAGGGGTCGATACAGCCTCTAACAGAAATTAGTACCAGGAATATTCTTGGTATATTCTGAGAGGTAAAAGGCGGACGGCGCATAAGGCTGACAACCTTACCGCCATCTCTGAGCCGATTGTCCAGAGAATGTGGGAACCTCAACATCGCACAACCCTATGGGTTTCCACGGCCTGTTGCAGGGATACCTTTACTTTTACTTTTACTATGCACTGATGAAGTGCTTCTTGTGGATGGTTCAAGTTTCAAAGGAAGCGAAATTGTTTATTCAGTCTTTGAAATTTCGTCTTAAGCCCGGCTCACTTCTTGTGAAGTTCATGGTGCATGACTTGAAATTTATGACATCATATAGAAAGCAGATGTTTTGAAAATGTAGCACAGTACACATGTTTGGGAACTACTACAACAAATCAAAACCTGATTCAGGAGGAGACTGAACTCGGGTAATGCTTGCTGCCATCAGTCCAGAACCTTTTGTCTTTTCGTCTGCTGTCTAAAAACATGAAACTTAGAATATACAACACTATAATCTTGCCTGTGGTTGTGTATGGGTGTGAAACTTGGTCTCTGACATTAAGGGAGGAACATAAACTGAGGGTGTTTGAGAACAGGGTGTTGAGGAGAATATTTGGACCGAAGAGATATGAAGTGACAGGAGGTTGCAGAAAACTGCATAATGAGGAGCTTCATAACTTGTACTCTTCTCCAAGTACAATTAGAATGATCACACGTCAAGGAGGATGAGATGGGCAGGGAATATAGCACGAATTGGGGGAGAATAGGAATGCACATAGGATATTGGTGGGAAATTCAGAAGGAATGAGACCACTAGGAAGACCAAGATGTAGGTGGGTGGACAATATTAAAATGGTTCTTAGATAGATAAGGTGGGACGGTATGGATTGGCTTGATGTGGCTCAGGAAAAGGAGCAGTGGAGGGCTCTTGTGGACACGGTAATGAACCTTTGGGCTGCATATAATGTTCAGAAGTTCTTGAGTGGCTGATCAACTGGCGGCTTCTGAAGAAAAAGGCTCATCGCCATGGAGTGAGTTAGTGTCTAATTGCAGCCCATGCTGAGGCTGCATACCGGCGAGGTTCAAACTGAATACCTCGAGCCTTCACGAGATGTGTGCGTGTTTCAGCGAATGTCCTGCAGCGTGAGGCTGAGACGAACCGCAGTGCGCTTGGCGGGGGCCAGGGGGAAGTCCCACCACACTGGGAGGCCAACAGTAAGAACTGCAACGTCAAGGCAGCCAAAAGGCTGCTGAGTGTGATCTTCAGCATCGTTTTTATCTCCCTCTTCATTTTCGTGGTCACAATTATTGTAAAAGGGGCCATACAGATCGAGAAGAGGGTAGCCGATGGTAAGTGACGCATCAGGCTGAGAGTTTACTTGCATAATCTGACCATTGCCATCTGTTCTGCCTGAAATCGCAGCTCAGTAGCACCGGTCAGCTAGTTTATGTGTGTGCGGTAGCGTAGTGGTTGAGGGACTATGCTACAAGCCGGAAGGTCGCGGGTTCAAGTCCCACTGAGGTCATTGGACTTTTTTCAGTTGACCTAATCCTTCCAGCCACACTAGGCCCTGGGGTTTACTCAGCCTCTAACAGAAATGAGTACCAGGAATTAATTAAATAATTTTCCTGGGGAGTAAAGCGCAGCCGGCACGTAAGGCTGACAACCTTACCGCCATCTTTGAGCCGATTTTCTAGATAG